TCAACCTTCATCGGCCCACGTGTATTGTCCGGGCTCAGAATGGGCGGACTCCAGAAGATGAGAGAAACCTTTTTATCCAACAGATAAAAGAAGGAACATTGCAAAGCTAAGCAGTCGTGGTATGGGGGCAACTGGAGAGTCCTCATCGAAACCTTCTACATCCCAAACCCTGAAGCCATTGGAGATCTGACTTCCTGTGCACCTCTCACATCCCAGCCGTGAAGAACCATCGAGGCGGAAGAGCCCTTGGTGACTCAGCTGGGCCTTTCCTCTCTGCACCAGAGTGGACTTTGGACCAGGACAAGGACATCTTTTTGTCTCAATGCCAGGATTTAGACCTTAACATTACTGGCTCTTCTTGGATGCTGCAGATGGCCCCTGTTGAGGGTCCTGCGCATCTTCTGCCTGGATTCTACCAAAACCAGGATTCTCACCATTAGGACTCATGCTGAAGAAGTGTCTGTACCTTGGGTGGGTGGAGTGGGGCCACGTCCTGCGCTGCCACGGCCACTCACAGGGGACACAGAGTGAGAACGGCATTTAGCAACGTTGTACAATGGCCAGGGTTGTGTTTTCTAGCAAACATGCTATTATGTACCGGAATTAACTGTGTGCAACGCGTCTGTGTCAAAGCTAGGCATTGTGCTCTCCTGATGTTTGTTTTGCACAACACCGGTGTGATTTTCCTCAGATCTGGTTTCTGAGCGGGGGGGGGGGGGGGGGTTGGCGAGCACCATAGGCCGTGTCTTACAGAATGTTGAGGTGGCCAGAAGAGCTTGTCCACCCCGGGAGAACAGAATTCTGCTGGCGAGCAGGGCAGTTTTGTGTCAACAGAGAAAGCCGCCTTTCCCGTGGCAGCCAGGCATTAGCGAAAAACTCATGGGCATGACTGCAGGTCCTCTGTCTCAAACTCATTTATAATGTCACAGGAAGAAAGCAGGAAGTCCAACTTCCAAAGGGCTAGGACTCTCCACTCAGTGACTTAGGTCAGGAGTTATTTCTAGGCCAGAAAAGCCAAAGAATATTCCATTTTCCTTTTCTCACAGTTGAAAACCACATTCAGTGGAGACAAGTTTGAAGCCCGGTGATGCCTAGGCGTTAGCATTATTGGATGTTCGTGGCATTGTTTGTCATATGGATGTTTGTAGAAATCTGGCCCAGAGCATTTATAACTGTGAGAGGTCATTCACACTGGCCACAGGACTCTGGCTACTGTCTGTTTAAATTCTGATGTTTCTGTGAAATCCTCAAGAGTGTTTAATCCTATTCAATAGTATCATTACAATTTTCTGTAAGAGAAAATATTACTTATTTATCCTAGTATTCCTAACTTGTTGATATAATAAATACTGGAACCAAGACATGGTGAACTTAAGTGTTGTGCTGGTTTCTCTTCCTTTTAAATGGGTTGGTTGTTGAACTCTAGCCATTCCCCACCCCCTCCCTCTCCGTCGAGGGGGAGGGGCGTTTTCGCTTAAAAATTCTCCCAAGGGTCATCCTTTGCTCTTTGGGGTGCCACTGGGCGGGATAGTTGACTTTCCATTCTGTTCCTCAGACTGTGGCATCTGTTGCCCAGTTTCTCATTGACAAGCCCCGAAACACAGCGCCAACCAAGTATATCCTTTAGACCAACTGTTTGGTGTTAACATAGAGTTTTGATATAAAATCTCAACTATGTTTCTTTGAATGTACAGATGCCTAAAATGTAGACCCATTGTTCAGCTTGACACTGTACCTTCTGCCTCAGAACATTTCTTAAAGTATTCACTCGATTACATCCGTTATGTCCAAATATGTGTCTGATTATTGCAAGTATGTATTTCAAATAGGAGGAAAGAATGGAGGGAGGAAGAGAGGGAGAGAATCATTTTGATAGGTGTGCTAATTCAAAGAAAGGCATTTCACCGAATGGGATTCTTTAGGTCTGGAACAGAACCAGGCTCCCTTGCTCTTTGCCTGTGCACACAGGTATTCCTCACAGGCCAGAAATAAAAACTGTCTATTCTGCTACTAATGTCTTCCTTCAGAGAGATATTAGCTTCATCCAATGTTAAGATTCGTGCACATGAATGGGGAGCCTGCTCCTCTGAACTACTGTACGGTTCCTTTAAATTAGCACCTGTGACACCCGTGTCCTGATTTTGCTGCTTTATTTGCACATCAGGGATACTTGCCCATCTGTAAAGAGCCAATTGGTGGAAGCGCCCCTTGCCACTGCTTTCAGGAGATAATCTATTTTCTTTAAGGGGTGGTGGGGGGGGAAATCCTTGGCATTTACCCTGTGGTTGTAGGTGTAGGTGCCACCAATCAGCGGTTAGAAACTCCAGACAGTTTTTAAGCTGCCAAGGACAACAACAGTGAATTGGAGAGGAAGGAAGTGGGTGGTGGCAATGGCCAAAAAAATTGATCCGAAAAATACACTGTATATGGTTAGTGGAACTGAAAGCTCCTTTTACCAAGTGTATTAAAAACAGTTTTGTTTCCTGCGGCCAAGTTTATGTTTTGATACTTCAATAATAATAATAAAAAGGACAAATAATCTATTTACCATCAAGTTGTTCAGTTCCTTTTGTTTCATATTCAATGGAGAGGGAAGGTTGGGAGGATCTGAGAGAATAAAGTTGGATGGAGCCTCCACCAGAATCAGACACACACCCAGTGTGCCAGTCTCTTTCCACGGGCCTCCTGCTGGGGTGGTGACATCACACTGGCAGGTCATGGAGAGCCCCCCCTCTCCTGACCTCCTCCTTGCCCCTTGCCTTTCCCTAACATCTCGCCTGACACCTCTTGCAGAATCAAGAGTTTTAAAGGTTCTGGCCCAGAGGGATTCTGGAATTAAAACTTTAACTTTCTGCCAGGAGCTCAAAAGCTATTTTCCATCTTTATCCTACTTTCTCCCCATTGGCTTTGAATAAACCCTTAAAACCCAAACCCATATTGAGCCTTTCCTTTCTTCCCATCCCATACTCTGGTTGTATTCACCTTTCTCTGTGTTTTCATGGATCTGCCTGACGTAGAGCCTCAGAGGAGGCCAGTTTTGCCCATTGAGCATCCTTCTGTGTTCTCATAGTGACTCTAACCCCACAAGCTTCTCAATTTGTCCTCTCAAAAACTGCTCTCGGGAAGGAATTCACACTGAGGCTTAAAAGGCCAGTTGAGGATGAATGCTAATAAATGCTACTATTTATTGAGTTAGACGATATGCTCAACACTTCACATGCATTATTTCGTTGAATCCTTACAGCAACTGTTATCCCCATTTTACAGACGGGGAAATGGAAAGCTGAGTCACACCGTTGACCTTTCTAAAGGGTTCCAAGCAGGAGTGTATATGTGCATGTGTGTGTGAGAGAGAAATTACACACAACATAAAATCTACCATTGTACCCATTCTAGAGAGTGTAAAACTCAGTACATTCACAATGCTGTGTGACCATCACCACTATCTAGTTCGAGAATTTTCATTCCCTACAAAGTAAATCCTGTACCTATTAAGCAGTCACTCCCTACACTCCGCTCCGTCCAGCCCCAGGCAACCGCTAATCTACTACCTGTCTGTGGATTTGCCTCTTCTGGGTATTTCATCTAAATGGAATCATACAGTATGTGGCCATCTGTGTCTTGCTTCTTTCACTTGGCATCCTGTTTTCAGGATTCATCCCTGTTGTAGCAGGTATCAGTACTTCATTTTTTTTTTTAATGGCTGAATAACATTCCACTGTATGGATAGACCACATTTTGTTTATCCATTCACCGGTTGATGAACAGGTGTGTGTATTGGAACAGAAAGATATCCTTTATTTTCAAGGAATGAATCCCTAATGTAGGATTTCAGGCGTAACATCAAACTGGGAGATCAGAGAGTTGGGAGCAGGTGTCTTAGAACTTCCAAGTAACAATTTAGAAATCACATATTCTGCAGCTAGCTCTGTGGGAGGGGTGATAAGGCAGGAGGTATAATGGTACATGCTCCCCATAGGTGTCGATGCTTCCAAACCACTCCTGTTGCCCCAGGAGGGTGCTTGGTAGGCTCCTGGAATTGAAGATGACACCTCTGCACCCCCCGCACTTCATTTCACTGGGGAAGAAGGGAAGAAAACCAGGGGTCTTAAGAGAGCATAACCAGGTTTCCACACACAGGCTGTTTGTAGAAGCATAAGGGAGGGGAGGAACGAAGATGACCCCCCTGTACAATTTAATTCCCATTTCAGGCCAGCCACCACCTGAAGTAGTTGTTTTGGATTCTGTCCATAACATATATACACATATAGAGTCATGCAACTTCCAATAGTGCATCAGAAAGGTCTTAAATCAGTCTGGTTTAAAACCTGTGGCTGGCCCAAGCTTTCTTTGTGAGGCAAAGTACTGTGGTGGTTCCAAACAAAGGCTTTAGAGTCGGGTAGACCTGCATGCAAATACTGCCTCTTCTGCCATCAGTTCTGTGAAGTTAGGCCAATGATACCGTCTCACTTTCTTCACCCGTAAAACGGGGCAGTAGCAACAGTACCAAACTTGATGGATTCTTACGGTCATATGTGGAGAACATGGCATGGTGCGTAGGGGATGCAGTGTTTAAGGTTATCATTAATGGCTGCTAGCATCAATGTCTACTGCAGTGTTATGAAAGAGCAGGCCAAGAACCAAGACTGCCAATTCTGGGTTCTTGGACAAAATGAAACCATGAGCTCCAATGGTTCAAATGTATCCCATCATCTTACCTTCCTATAGCTTTGGTCCAGTTGCTGAATCTTTTGAATTTGGGGGAGGGGAGAAAAAAGTCCCCACACAAAATTGTTCCATTTGAAGAAATTTTTATTTTGATACCCACCTGAGTCCCTGGCAGGGTAAGCCTGTCCTCTGTGGGGGCAATGGGGATTTTGGGGGGAGGATGGTGGCCCCGCCCTAGGGGGTGTCTGGGGGATGAGAACAAAGGGGTATGTGACAGTGACAGGTCACAAAGGGCAGCAGAGGATAAATATGGCTGCGCAGGGGTTTAGGCTGAGAGAGTGGTCACTTCTCTCACCAGGACTGTAGTTTGCAGCCTCTCAGGAAAATTTTTAAAAAATCAGGGCAGCGGTGAGGTAGAGGAGGAGCCCACCGTCCATCTCTACACCCTTGCAGAGATTCAGTCTGGGGTCCAGGCACACACCAGCATCCCCTCTGCCATCCTCAGAGCCCCCAACCCGGACCCCTGTCTCTGGGAGGTTCTGAGCCAAAGGGGGGGGTCTGTGGCCTGTGGGGTGGGGTGGGGTGGAGACACCTGCCCCAGAGCCACCCGTGTGACACAGGAGCCCTCTGTCAACCCAACAAGGCCGAGGAAGGGAAGACCCAGGGCCCCCCCCCGCCCCTTGCCAGCCAGCACTGCTCGTGACACAAGGTGCTCATGAACGCCGAGGCTCTGCTACCTTACCACACAGCCCACAGTGCTTCCGGGGTGGGCATGTTCAACACCACCATGGGGAAACTACAGAGACAACTGCACAAGGGAGAATATGACATATTCAAGTACGCACCTATTTTTGAAAGCGACTTTATCCAGATTACCAAAAGGGGAGAAGTCATTGATGTGCACAACCGAGTCAGAATGGTGACCGTGGGCGTCGCATCCACCAGCCCCATCCTCCCGCTCCCTGACGTCATGCTGCTGGCCCGCCCGGCCACCGGCTGTGAAGAGCATGCCGGGCGGGGCCAGGCCACCAAGGGAAAAGGCCGCAAGGCTTCAAAGACCTTAGAGCTCACCAGGCTCCTTCCCTTGAAGTTTGTGAGGATCTCCATTCACGACCGTGAGAAACAACAGCTGCGCCTCAAGTTCGCCACGGGCCGCTCGTGCTACCTGCAGCTGAGTCCCCCTCTGAACGCGCGGGAAGACCTCTTTGCCTACTGGGAAAAGCTCATCTACCTCCTCCGGCCGCCAGTGGACAGTCACAGCAATACCTACGCCATTCCAGCCGAGGACATGCTGTGCATGCCTGTGTTTGAGGAAGAGGACCGGAGGAGCCCAGCGGGGGCAGATTTCCAAGGAAAAGGGGATCAGGACCAGGTCAGCATCAGGAGCCTCCACGTGGTCTCGGAGGTGGCCGGCGCCACCTCTGCAGCTTTTGCTGGCGGGGAGCGGACCCATCAGGACTCCCACAAACCCAACACCCTGCCCGACGTAGCCGCCCCAAACACAAAAGCGACAGGGCTCGACAAGGAGTCGGCAGCAGGGGCCACGACAGAGGCAGCGGCGGGGGAAGCCGCGGGGGCGGCGGCAGTGGTGGCCGCAGGGACAGCAACAGGGTTCGCAGCGGGGGTCGCAGCGGGCGCCACAGCAGGCGCTTTGAGCGTGGCGATTACCAGGTCTGGGGCCCCTGAACAGCTAAGCACGGCCGTAGCCGGGGCAGCCACCCAGCGTCCAGGAGGCGGCAAAGCGAACCTCGCCATTGCGGGCGCTGCCAACATGTCCCCGAGGAGCGTGAACGTGGCCTTGGCAGGTACCGGAAAGACCCCAGGGTTTACTTCCGACTCGTCCAACGGTCTCCCAGAGGACAGCGTGTCCCTGGCGTTCGCCGGGACAAGAGCTGCCGGCAAGGCTGCGGGAGAAGCCGCTCTGGACGTAGCCGAAGGAGCGCTCCTCTCGGACGCGCCGAGCGCGGGCGGCCCGGGCGGGCAGGCGGGAAGGCAGCCCCCGAAGGGCCGGAGGGAGCGGAGGGAGCACCGGGAAAAGGAGCGAGCCCGCCGGAGCTCCCGTCGCCGCAGGGCCGCCGAGAGCCGCCACAAGGCCCAGGGGGACAAGATCACCCGGAAAGCCTCCAGCCGGTCCATAGCGGTCCACAGAGCCGCGCGCGAGGACAAGAAGGAGAAGGGCCGTGGCAGCCCGGGGGGCGGCAGACGCGCCCCCCACAAACGCATCAGCCACGCCCCCATCGCCAAGGAGTCCAGAACCTCCCACAAACCGGGGCGGAGCTTATCCACCCCCAGCTCGGGCTCCGAGACCAAGAGGCTCAGCAGGATCAGCTCCTTCCTGAGGAACGTCAAAGCCAACCTTATTACAAGAACCATGGCCTCCCCACGGGGCAGAGACGTGGACATGTTGCCGAAGACCGTGGACAGGAGCGGTATGGAGGCCATCATCGAGGCCGCAGAGAGCGGCCAGTGCTTGGAGAGCGCGGGGAGCGGGACATCTGACATCATGGAGATGGTGACCTTCGAAGCCCATTAGTAGGACCCAGAGCTTTCGGCAGCTGCAAAGGGGACCGGGCTCAGGGACGTATCCCCGGAGACTCCATTCCAGCTTTCCTCACTGCAGTTGAAATAAAAAAACATACAATCTGAGAATGGCATGCTGCATTCTGTCGGAATTTCTAGGTCCTGCAGCCCAGTAGTGACCTCACAGTGGATTCTGTGAGGTCAGCCGGGCTGCCATCCAAGACCCCAGGGTCCAGTCGAGGGCAGCCCCCACCTCACACCCATGCTCAGAGCCAAAGCTCATCCTGCCTCAAGGCCTGTCTGGCTTGTTCCTCAGGGCCATAGCTAAAAGTCAAACTGTGGCCCCTAATGCTCCACCTCCACCATTTCTCTATTTTTATAAACGTTCCTAACTCCTGAAGGTCCATAGACAGAGTAAGAACAGGGACAAAGTAAGAACGGTCCTCCCCATCTCCTCGGGCTATTCAGTGGAGGGAAGAGGGGTACAGCAGCCTTTGTGGGCAATATTCTCGTCTAGACCTAGCAAGTTCTTTCCAGGGTATATATCCTGGAGAGACACCGGTTCTAAGATGGTGGGAATGTTTATAGCAAAAAATAGTGAAACACTGCAAGCAGCCCAAATTACCCTCAACACAATTCTCAACACAACCCTCCGTGCTCAAGACGGAGGTGATGGTGCAGAGAGGGGTGAGGCAACACCTTTCATGTAGGATATCATAGTGGGATATAAATGCAACAGTGAGCAGCTACATACCCTGGTGTGGGAAAAAAAACCTATTCTGTGACTGTAACCTATTCCACTTATAGAACAGTTCAAAAACAAGGTCAAAAGTACATGTGTGACAAAAACAAGGGAACAGTACACACAAAAATTCAGGACAGTGGTTTTCTCCAGGATGGAAAGGTAAGACACAAGGTGAACACAGGGCTTTCAGAGCTTCTGGAAATGTTCTGTGAAGCAAGGCCATGCGCACACAGGTGTATTTTTCACATCACGATCTCTGCAATCAGAATGGTCCTAGAATTGCTTCCGACATACCTAAGTGCCTTTCCCTTATGTTTTCACTCTTGTGTATGCACAAAAGTGTTATGTCTTATGTCTGAAAGGTCTGGTCTCTTTCAATTGGGTTCTGGGTTCTTGTAATAATTTACCTACCTACAATAAATGTAATCACTATTTTACAGATAGGAACACTAAGGCTCAGAAAAGTTAACTTGTTCCTATCATACAGTAAAACCTTTGCAGAACAGTGATCCACTCCTTTATGCAAAGGATTCCCACCACTATGTTCCCAAACTCTGCACCCAATGTACTGGACTTCCCCTTAGAGAAGGAGGTTTGGGAGCTGGGGATCTCCTGATAATGAGCCACTGTGAGCTGGTTTTTGAATTTCAGGGAGCTCACAGCCCTCAGGTGGTCTTATCTCAAGAGTGTCCAGACCACCCTTGAGTTAGGTCTGGCTCCCAGTCTTCTATCCCCAGGCTCTGTGTGACCTGCACTGCAGCCAGCCATAAACAGACCTCCTGCCTGGTATTCCAGGGACCAGTCTGGAATCTCCCCTACAATCCATTCCTCCCACAGCCACTAATTAAACTTTGGTATGGAGAAACAATTTAAAAGTGTTTCTCCTTACCGAGTCTCTCCTTCTGGGGTTCGGAAAACAAATCCTTAAACTTCACCTGAGGGAGATTGTTTGTTAGGTCACAGCATCCATGCACTAAAGAGTCAGGGAGGAGAGGAGTCGCTTCTGTTGGTGAAGGGAATGGCCATGGGGTGGGGCTCTGGTGAGGAAGGAAGGAGCCAGAGACCCACACACATCCACCGTTTCCTCAGGCAAAACAAGGTTCACAACCCCAGAATGGAGAGTTATTGGAGTGAGTCAAGTTATTCTTAAAGAATAGAACATGCCAAAGATTAGATACGGATTGGCCCTGTGAGGAAAACAACCTCAGAATCATTAACCCAGAGCTTCAGAGAAGACTCAGAGCTGTAGGGAGACAGAATTAATAGTTTACTCTTAACCAGCGTTTCCCTGGACTCAAGGCAGGGAAGTTACAGAAAGATCACATCACATTCCTTTGATCCTCTGATTTCCACACAGGCAAGTGCAGGTAAACACTCGTCTGGAATAAAGACATCTGCATAGCATTTAGCTGTTTAATAGCACTCAGCCAGTTAAAGTTCTTTAATGTATGTGCCCCCTTCTGATTCTCCCAGGTCTCCATTTGGCAGATCAGCAAATGGGAGTTCAGAGCATTTCAAGGACTTGCTCAAGACGGAGGTGATGGTGCAGGGAGGGATGAGGCAACACCTTTCATGTAACCTTTACTGAGTGCTAGCGCCGTGTCCTGCCGGGAACTATGGAATCAATGGGAAAAACAGGACGGACTTGAGTGATTATCACAACTCTGAGTGACAGATACAAGGAGAGACGCATGTTCAGGGTACAGGATCCATTCAGAGGAGGTTCCGGGACATGGGAAGGAGTCTTGGGTCAGGGAAGTGTTCACAGAGGAAGGGGCAGTTATAAGAATGAATAGGACTCTGCCAGGTAGAGGAAGTATGGGGAGCAAGGATAAAGGGTAGAGGAGGTGCAGGTCACAGAAAAGAATGTGTGCAAAGTACAAAGACTTGAAATATCACGATGTGTTGAGCAATTATAGATATTTCAGTATTGTTGGTCGGCTCACAAGAGGAGAAGAGGAACATGAGGCTGGAGAATCCGGCAGCTGGACCTTCCGGCACCTGGGGAGCCATTGAGAGCCAGCACCTGATAGGAGTAAGTTCTCTCTGGCTCCTGGGTGGACAGCTGATGGGCAGGGGGCTGTCTGAGACAGGGGATGCTCCAGGAAGCCAGGATTGCCTTAATCCTGGCCAGAGATGGGGAAATCTGATCCTGGGAGGCAGTGAGGAAAGAGAAGGGGGCAGAGTCAGGAGATGTTAAAAAGATGGAACAGGACAATTTTCCATCCCACATCCTGAAAGACTGGGAGCTCAGGGTGTGGGCTCAGCACTCATCTAAAGGAGGCGGAAGGGACGAAGGGGAAGTGTCCTCCCTCCATGGTGACTGTTGGTCAGTAAAGGGGATGGCAAGAGAGAGGCTCATGGGAAAGCCAGGAGGAATGTCTTAAGATATAAAACAGCTTCTAGGTGGCTAAGGGGTAAAACATCAGGCTAAGGCAGCCAAAGGGAACCGGAGAGGGGAGGAGAGCCTCCCTGAGCCGTACCTTGTGCATCTGGGCGGGAGGTATTCCAACAGAACCCTCCTCCGCTGCACATAAGAGTCGCTCGGTAGAGCCCCTTGTGGCCACATCCTGGCACTGCAGGCTGTCGCTTGAATGATGGGAGCCAGGACTGAGGCTGAGTGGTAGTCACCACTTCCCTTTGTCACACCACAATTAGCCTAATGCCAAGGCCGGAGGTGTGAGCTGGGGGGGAGGGTTCTGAGTAATGTCTCTCATCCGGGCTGCTTGGCTCCAAGCCTCTGGCCGGGAGTGGCAGAATGTGGAGTGGCCACAAGACCGGTACCCTAGGAGGTTGGGGGGTCCAACTCAAGGGGATAATGAGTGACCATCCAGAATAGGGGTAAGGTGGAGTTAGTGTCAAGGTCTCCCTGCAGCCTAGAAGTCATTGGAGAAACAATTGTTGAGCACCTACTATGGGCAAGAGAGTTCACGTACACACACACACACACACACACACCAGTAACGCAAGTCAAAGTGTGGTGGTGGCCTTGGGCAGTGTATAAAAAGAGGCCTCATAGAGAAGGAAAGGTCTGAGCAAAGAGATGATGGAGAAAGAGGAGGACTTGGGAGTTTGGGGGTCTTGGGAGATGTTTCTAGATGACAGACAAGTACAGTGTGCCCAAGATACCATGTGTTTAGGGGATAAGGTAGAGGAGGGTAGTGGGGAGCGGGTGAGGGTGTGTTGGGAAGCGAGGCTGGAAGGGAAGACGAGACCACGGCATAGAGGAGAGACCAGGAATGCCGAGTAAAGCCCTGGACCCCATGATCTTCATTACTGCAAATGGGACCTGTAATCCAGAGGCGAAGGGTACAAGGGCTGGATTTTCCTGGGGCAGAAGAACAGGAGAACTTAAAATGTGTTATGGAGGTTCATGTCTTCCCCCACTGTGTAAATGGGTGTTTTCCCACAAGTGTGCTGAGGTAGTGATACCGCTCATCCTGGGGACACCTGGAGGACCCAGCCAGTCAGCTTTGGCTGCCAGGAGCCCCATCTGATATCCCAGGATGCCATTCCAATGTTGCCATTTTCTACATGTTTCATGACCTGCAAAACTTTGGGAAAGATCTGTCTAGATATGCACATTGCATGCACACAATATACTTGTCAGCAAAGAGCCACAGAGAAGCACCTTCCTTGGAGGGCTGGCCTGTTTCCCCCAGTTTCAGTTGCTGCTGACCATGTCACTCCTGTTTCCTTCTCCCACGGACATAGTCACAGCCGCAGCACCTTGCCGTAATGCAATTTACACTAGTTTAAGGAAGGAGAAATTGGAAAGTTTTTCATAAAACTTTGTATAAAGTTAAATTAGTTTTTTAAAGACCTATCTTTTGCTTTGAGAGCATGTCCTTCCTCCTGTTTTTAACATTTTAGTTTGAAGTATAGCATACATCCCGAAAACCCCCACACAGCTAGCACCAGTGACGAATGAGAACATCACCACACCCCGAGAAGCCCCCCTCAGGTTCTCTACCGCCCAGGGTAACCATTATCCTAACTTCTGACACCGTAGACTCCTTTTGCTTGTTTTCCAACTTTAGGTAAATGGAATCACGTTGTATGTACTCTTTGACTCCGGTTTCTTTCCCTCAACAGCATATTCATGAGATTTGTCCACAATTTTTCGGACAATAATTCACTCATTCTCACTGCTATATAGTATTTCATTGCATACATGTACTACAATTTATTTATTCATTCAGCCATTGGTGGGTGTTTGGGTTATTTCCAGTTTTTGGCTAATAAGAAGAGTGCTGTTATGAACACTTAGATGCAGATCTTTTGGTAAAAATATACATACATTTCTGTCAGGCGTATACTTAGAAATGGAATTGAATACATGCATATGTTCAGTTTTAGATGATAATTCCCCAGTGACTGT